ACTGAGCCGACGACACTGCCCATGACTATCCTTAGATGGACGTCTGGATGGTGTAAAATGGAATGGAATGAAGTGAAATGAACGAGGGAACAAACATTACAAACAATGAATGAAAAGCAAGCTCACATGACAACGCGCCATAATTAAGAACAATGCCAACTTATTCAACGCCAGACCATGCGAGATGTACCAGGGTTTATCCGCCACTTGACACTTGATGGATTCCATTTCCGTGACATGCCATCGCAAGAAACTGGTCGGTACAGTAGGCAGAAGTGTAAGGAAGATGTTTTATAGGAGTGTAAGGAAATTTTGGAAAAAATATTTATTAATTATTCGTAATACATACAAACGTATGTATGAAGACTACATAGATGAATTTTTCTCATACATATACACATAAACATACATGTACATAGTATGTATATTTTTATTATTATTTATGATACTAAATGTAAATAAGTTAACACATATATTATATACAAACATATATATACATACATAGATACAAACGAATCCATCTAGAAAACGGATTTGTTAGGAAAATATTTAAATATGTATGCATAGGTACAGATAGACCAACATAACTTGTTGGATTCGCCTATTCATTCTGTTCCAGAAAATAAAATGTATTATATTATTATTGGCTAATGTTTAGATAGGTTATGCTTCTGTGCCTCGATAAACAAAAAAAAAACAGAATTGGAAGTGTGTATGCACTCATAGATCTTCCCAAGAGATGATAAAATACGAATTCCATCTGCTAATAATGATACTTTTCCGTTTACAATTCTCAAGAGTTTCCTTTTTCCAATCCACTATTCGCCGGTTTCATTGTCTTTGGAAAAATGAGAAAGTGTGGGGACATTTGTGAGACGCTTCGTACACGCAACAAATTTTATACCCGGTACTCAGTACTCAGTTTATAGTTTTATATTTATATTTATATTATTTTTATATTTATATATATATTTATTTATATTTAATATTTATTTTATTTAGAGAGAGTGTGGAATAAGAGAATAAACAAAAAATAAACAAAGCTTCCGGAAGGGGTAGGGGCTATCCACTGCAAACGAATTTCGTCATTCTGTGATATCACATGGAGTCTTCACACAATATTTGGTGACTCTAGCTCTAATAGTCTCTGATTTCCAGGCGCCCATCAAGACGGACTGAGAGACGGAAAAGCAGACATAGACTCGTATATTGGTATATTGTACTTTACGGGATCGGAACCGTTTCCTTATGTGCGTTACGCACATTGCTGCGACCACAAATACAATATACCCTTTTTACTCTTTGAGTACCGGGTGTACCAATTATAATTACAAGACAGCAAACGAAATTTCGAAAGCAGTGGCAAGATAATCATGGCCCATGAGTCATACGGTGACGCAATGAGTAATGTGCAAATCACCCACAATACACAGATACAGACTGGGAAAACTACAAAACAAACAATTACAAAGAAATATAATGTGCGCAAAATGAAAGAGAAACGAGAACGATCAGTCATCGCATAGAAATGTTACCTCACATCCCCTAACTCCATACTTTCCGACTAATCAAATCAAATTAATGCTGGCATGACCGCCTCTCGTATACGGCTACCGATTCGAAGGCTCTCCTATCCCCCGATTGAATGCGCAATCGTAAGCCTATTCAGGCTATGGCAGGCACTTCCTGGCTTACACCAACTGGCCTGATCGATCGAACCAGTGATTAAGAACATCATGAAGCAGAAGAAAAATGAAAGAAAGGTACAAGGAAGGAACAAACAATTGAGTGAGGATTGATATACTAGCCGACAGATATCGCTACAACAACATCACCAACACTAATCTGTTTACTCGAACAGCTGGAGAGGACTAGGGGCAAAAAAGGCGACCCCTGGCAAGACCAAGATATTTGCACGGTCAACTTTCAACACAATTCGTTGGCTACCTGTTGTTTGCTGGGTGCCGGTTTCTTAAGAACATCCAGTTCCATCCCGTTCCATCGTAGCCAAAGAAGCTGCTGAGCTAACTGGCTGACTGATACGCATCGCCTGGGATGTGTTTGGTTAATCAGCACCTGCCCCAGAGACTCAAGGGGCGTCGAGGCAGGTACAGAAACATCACAGAGCCCTGATCTTCTTTGCTTTAATCGACCGGACTCCAGACATTTTGGGAAAGTTTGAAAGAGTGGTTACAGCATATGGGCTCATTTGGGGATCCTTCAAGGGATCATTCAAAAATATATGATTCGGGCTTAGCCAGAACCAACTGGAGCGCTGCCGTAAGACTCAAACCCCAGATCTCCCTTCGATTTCGATTGGCCAGCAGATCCAGGGCAAGAAAAAACGACGAGGAACGCTTGTGACTCTGATACCCGGCACTTAGTCAGCATACATACATATGTATGTATGTAAATATATGAATGCCTATGAATGTTTATGAATGTATGTATGTAACCTTAGTGTGATACATATGTATGTATGTACTATGAATGATTATGATTTTTTCAAATTTAACGTTTTACATTTTTTGTTACATCGGTCATCTACATCTACATCACTTTATACACCAACATTCCCTACGGAATTGCAGTTTTAGTTCTTATTCTAAAAATTGTGGATACAGCAAATTTCGGCCTCTGTGCTGTCGGAAGGGGCTGCGAACATTTTTTAAACAAACTTGTGTGACATCACATTAGTCCTATACACAAACTTTGATGACCAGTTATAGTCGTTGAGAAAGAGGCGTCAAACAATGCGGACAGACGGACGGTCAGACATACACATAGACTCGGCTATCAAGAAAAATCAAGATCAAGAAAATATATACTTTACAAGGTCGGAAAGGTTTCCTTCTGTGCGTTAAATACATCCACTTTCGCGCACAATTACAATACACCCTATTTACTCTTCGAGTACCGGGTATAAAGGAGCGCATACCGATTATTAGCTACCTTCTACTCATGTTCATATGTACATACATATACATTTCATTAAATACCCTCATTCATACATATGTATTTATGTATGCATGTACTTATATAATATTAAATCTCTTGGATGAATTAATGCCATGTGATCTAGGGGAATCTACAATAAAGATTTTGATCATGAATACATTGCCAAATTTTGTTTTATGATATTATATATATATATTTTTTTTTTCATAAGTCTACGTAAACTCTACAAACAATTTGCAGTATACTGGCTCGGGGTTTGGGCCACCCAAAAAAAAACAAACGTTGTGGCAGCTTTTGTTCTTATAAATCAAGAAAAATCATTAATTTTTTGTTGTCTACTAATACACATGTACATATGTTTGAGCGTGGCAAACAATTGATTTAACTAATATTTTATGATTATTGAATTTTTTGGGTTTAAAATTCGAGTAAAGTAAAGCAATTCAGCAAACTCTTTCTCTCTTGCTAAGAGAGCACGCAAACATTCAAAGAGCACGCACGCACACAGCGACGCAAGAACTGGTGGAGCTATGGGTGCAATCGGCAGCGACGGGGAGCGGTTAAAAAAAACAAAGCTATGCAATGCAAACGCAACGTATAATAGCACAGTGGGATGAATGTCATCGAATGGTGTGCGATGTGGCTGGGTGTCTTACTGTGCAAGGGTGTGTAAAGGTGGGATGGACAGGTGGATAGTGGCGGAAAAAGAAAGTGAGATCGATCTATAGGCAGACAAACACACATAGTCTAGAGGTGAGCAGAAGAAGAACAAAGGAAATGAAACAAGGACGGACAGCAAAGCTGAAGCATACAATTTCAGTAATATTACATAATAGGTACATAGGTTACATATGCTGGTTATGAAAAAATCCGTACAATTTACAGATCCTAACTTTCTAGATGTGTATTACATCAGTTTTTCAATTGATCGCCTATGGATGCAAGAGCAACCCATTATTAATAAGAGTTTCCTTATAACATGTCAGACCGTAACCTTGAAGTATGCACACGATTTTCTTTCACTTGAAGCCCTACCAATGCGTGTGCCACACTGTGCAGCTCAATGTGTCTCCCCTGCTGACGGTTTCGTTGAGCGTCAAAGCAGACAAACAATTTCAAAGATACATTGACACTCGTCACACCGGTTATACTAGTTTTTCCCTTGCTTTTCGTATTCAGCAATTAAGAGACTGTGCTCACGCCGGGAAACGCTCTCCCAGAGCATGAAGAATCTATATAAGGAGGTCTCGTCGGCAAAAATAAGCAGAACGAGCGAGTGAAAGGGCTCACGCTGCAAGTGGCAACGACAATGGAATGTGCTGATTAACCATTTGAAGGCAATGTAAAAAAACATAATAATTGCTTCATAATTTAATTTTTAATAGTTTGCTACATGAAAAATAAAACATTTTGAAAAAATTACTAACTTTACTAACTAATTTTGTCAGCAACCAACCTTCCGCGTCGACAAGCAAACGAGCACTGAAAATAGACAGAAGCACTGAGTAACTCTGCCACCGACGAGGCCTCCTTATAGTTACTTCATGTCCCAGAGATATCAGTTGAAACATAACTCTCGCAGTTCGGAGAGAAGGTAGCGTCGAGAGAACGTAACCAAGATGCGAATTGTTCACTCTTCCGCCAGAAGCAAAGATATAAGCAGAAGCAGCTATATAAGGAGGTCTCGTCGTCAAAACGGCGCCCATAACAACGCTGATAATAAATGCGAGTAAAATGACTCTGCTTAGTAAGGGTGAGTGAAACGACAATGAAGTGTTCTGATTAACGCTTTGAATGCAACGTGAAAAGAAAAAGAGTTTATGTTTGTTTTATAATTTGACAAACAAACACGCACAGAAGGGCGCTGAACGAAGCGAAGACAGCCGACGAGATCACCTTGTATAATTGCATCGTGGTGTTTGCTGCATACTCTCTCTTTAGTCGCTGCGAGAGGGATCCTCGCACAACCAGTGGAAACCTCATCTGGTTTGCTGACTACTCTCTCTCTCCCGTTTAGTTGTGGATGTGCTTGTTAGCCGCTGCGAGAGCGATCAATTGAAAAACTGACTTCAAGCCGAGCGGAATCGCGTTGTCGGAGAGTGATCGAAAGAAGTAGCAGTCGCGGCATGAAACAGAATCGAGTGCATGAAAGTTTGTTCGAATGAAATGATTCAACCCTAGACGCGCTATCGCCCCCCACTTGGATTACGGTCAGCGCGAGAGCAACAACGAAAAATAGAAAGAAATCAAGTGAAAATAGAAAAAGGCGAGAAACATAAGAAAATTAATTTGGATAAATCGCCGAGAAAAATTCGGATGTGTTGATGTGAGTGCTGTGCTCTGCCGTCGGAGGTGATTGTGCAAAGATCTATATAAAAATAGAAAAGAGGCAACCTTAAAAACCCCAAACAAAATGGGAAACAAATAATCGGGATCCCATAGACCAAAACTCCAAAATCTCCCACTTAACTAGAAAACCACCTTCCCAGGTTGAGTCACTATCCAAGGGATCTTCCACCATCCATCCACCCACAATGCTGGCCACCAGCCATATGCTCTACGTCCTCATAGCCAGCTGCGCGATGCCCATTTTTGGGGCGGCCCTGAGCAAGACGGTTCTTTACCAGGCCCCGGACGAGTGCCGCTGGTCCGGCGGTGGAGAGCACGACATCACCCTGGTTTGCCACCTGCGCACGATCAACTCTGAGCTGGAGAACACCAATTTCAGCGTAATCCAGCCCCACAATACCGTGCGTTTGAGGCTAGAGTGCAACGATGCACTCTTCTTCCAGAGCAGCCTCAGTCCAGACAGCTTTAGGTCGCTGGTGGAGCTCAGGGATCTTACCATTGAGTATTGCAAGCTGGGCAACCTTACCGAAGGCTCCTTCCGGGGTCTGCACGAGCTACGCAACCTTACCATCCGCACACACAATGGGGACTGGTCAACCATGTCCCTTGAGATGGCCTCCAACAGCTTTGTGGACTTCAGACAGCTGGAGAGGCTGGACCTAAGTCTGAACAACATCTGGCTGATACCCGACGGTATGGTGTGTCCACTAAAGTCTTTGCAGCACCTCAACGCCTCCTACAACAAGATTCAAGACATCAGCAACTTCTACTTCAGCGCCTCGCTGAGCTCGCGGAAGGCGCGGGTGTGCGGCTCGACATTGCATAACCTCGACCTGAGTGCCAACAAAATGGTCAGCCTGCCGTCGGCCATGTTGTCGGCCCTGGGGCGGCTGACCCACTTGAACATGGCACGCAACAGCATGAGCTTTCTGGCGGACCGTGCCTTCGAGGGTCTTGTCTCGCTGCGTGTTGTGGATCTGTCTGCGAATAGACTGACATCGCTGCCTCCTGAGCTCTTCTCGGAGACGAAGCAGCTACAGGAGATCCATTTGAGGAATAATTCGATCAATGTGTTGGCGCCTGGGATCTTTGGGGAGCTGTCCGAGCTTCTGGTTCTAGACTTGGCCAATAATGAGCTAAACTCGCAGTGGATCAATGCTGCCACATTCGTGGGTTTGAAGCGGCTCATGACGCTGGACCTGTCATCCAACAAGATCAGCCGCCTGGAGTCGCACATCTTCCGGCCGTTGGCCAGCCTTCAGATCATAAAGCTTGAGGAGAACTACATCGATCAGCTGCCGTCGGGCATCTTCACGGACCTCACCAACTTGCACACACTTATTCTGTCCAACAACCGCATCTCGATTATCGAGCAGAGTACCTTGCAGGGTCTGAACAACCTGCTGGTGCTTTCCTTAGACTACAACCGCATTAACCGGCTGGACCCGCGATCTTTGATCAATTGCAGCCAGCTCCAGGACCTCCACCTCAATGACAACAAGCTGCAGGCGGTGCCGGAGGCCCTAGCGCATGTGCCCCTGCTTAAGACCCTGGACGTGGGGGAAAACATGATCAGTCAGATCGAGAATACTAGCATCACCCAGTTGGATAATCTCTACGGGTTGCGCATGACGGAGAACTCTCTCACGCACATACGACGAGGGGTCTTCGACCGGATGAGCTCTCTGCAAATCCTAAATCTATCCGGCAACAAACTGAGGACCATTGAGGCGGGCTCGCTGCAGAGGAACACTCAGCTACAGGCTATCCGCCTGGACGGCAACCAGCTCAAATCCATTGCAGGCCTTTTTACAGAGCTCCCCAACCTGGTCTGGCTAAACATATCGGGGAATCGGCTGGAAAAGTTTGACTACTCGCACATACCCATCGGACTGCAATGGTTGGACGTGCGGGCCAATAGGATCACACAGCTGGGGAACTACTTTGAGATCGAAAACGAGCTGAGCCTGAGCACCTTCGACGCCAGCTTCAATCTGCTGACAGAAATCACAGCCAGCTCGATACCCAACAGCGTGGAGGTGCTCTATCTGAACGACAATCAGATCAGCAAGATCCAGCCATACACGTTCTTCAAGAAGCCCAATCTCACCCGTGTCGATCTCGTGCGCAACAAGCTGACGACACTGGAGCCGAATGCACTGCGGCTTTCGCCAATCGCCGAGGACCACGAGATACCAGAGTTCTACATCGGACACAATGCGTATGAGTGCGATTGCAATCTGGATTGGCTGCAGAAGATCAATCGCGAGTCACGCACCCAGCCACAACTCATGGACCTCGACCAGATCTACTGCAAGCTGTCCTATGCGCGCGGCGCTACCCATGTCTCCCTCATTGAGGCCAAGTCGAACGACTTCCTATGTAAATACGACTCGCACTGCTTCGCTTTGTGCCACTGCTGCGATTTTCAGGCCTGCGACTGCAAGATGGAGTGCCCCGACCGCTGCTCCTGCTACCACGACCAGTCGTGGACATCAAACGTGGTCGACTGCAGTCGCGCTTCCTACGAGCAGGCTCTGCCCTCGCACATACCCATGGACGCCACGCAGCTATACCTTGACGGGAATAACTTCAAGGAGCTCCAAAGCCACGCCTTCATCGGCCGCAAGCGCCTGAAGGTTCTCCATCTCAACCACTCGCGGATCGAGATCCTTCACAATCGCACATTTTACGGTCTCCTGGAGCTGGAGGTGCTGCAGCTACAGAGCAACCAGATGAAGATGCTGAATGGCAACGAGTTCCAGGGCTTGGACAACCTTCAGGAGCTCTACTTGCAGCACAACGCGATAGCCACCATCGACACGCTCACATTTACGCATTTGTACCACCTGAAGATCCTGAGGCTGGACCACAATGCCATCGGCTCTTTCGCCGTGTGGAATTTCCTACCCAGCTACCTCAACGAGCTGCACCTGGCCGGCAATCACTGGAGTTGCAGTTGCGAGTTCATCGATAAGTTGCGGGATTACATAAGCCGACACGACTACGTTGTGGACCGTCCGAAGCTGCGCTGCGAGTCAGGCGGGAACAGCTCCCGGGAGATGGCCATTTATGCCAACACGGATTCCGCCCTGCCCGTTGTTCAGTGTAGTCAGATCCTGCCCCTGGGGCTGGACAACAGCTACAACGTTGCCGAGCAGGCGGGCAGCGAAGGTGGAGCCCTGGCCGGCAACATGACGTCCACGAAGATGATACTTAATCAGCCGCCCAAGCAGGACTACATCCCCATTCTGGTGGCCATTCTCACAGCCTTCATCTTCGTCATGATCTGCACTCTTCTGGTTTTCATCTTCCGCCAGGAGATGCGCGTCTGGTGCCACTCTCGGTTCGGCGTGCGTCTTTTCTACAACGGCCAGAAAGATGTGGACAAAAACGAGCGCGAGAAGCTCTTCGACGCCTTCATTTCTTACTCCTCTAAGGACGAGCTGTTCGTCAACGAGGAGCTAGCCCCGATGCTGGAAATGGGTGAACACCGTTACAAGCTCTGTTTGCACCAGCGGGACTTCCCCGTGGGCGGCTACCTGCCCGAAACCATCGTTCAGGCCATCGACAGCAGTCGGCGCACTATCATGGTCGTCAGTGAGAACTTTATCAAGTCTGAGTGGTGTCGCTTCGAGTTCAAGTCCGCCCATCAGTCAGTTCTGCGAGATCGCCGCCGTCGCCTGATTGTCATTGTACTTGGAGAGGTGCCCCAAAAAGAGCTCGATCCCGATCTGCGCCTGTATCTGAAGACAAACACCTATCTGCAGTGGGGCGACAAGCTCTTCTGGCAAAAGCTACGATTCGCTCTGCCTGACTTATCTTCCACCGCGCAGCGCTCCGTCGCCGGCCAGTCCTGCCACGTGCCCATCAACCATGCGGCTTACCATCATCACCACCATGTGCACCAGCAGGCTCTTCCCCTGCCCCATCCCGGCCATCATCATCAGCAGCAGCAACAGCAGCAATTTACGCTTCCGCCTCCCCCCCAGCAGACCGGAAGCTTTCGTCGTCAGTCCTCAATCCATCAGCAGCAACAGCACCAACAGCAGCAGGCAGCTTTGATGATGGGTGGAGTGCAGGTGGGTGTACCTTCCCCACAGATGATCCCCCTGGCGGGTGGAATCCAGCAGCAGAGTCTACCGCTGCCCCCAACACAGCCCACACCGGCTTCGCGTAATCTGCACATGTGAGTGGGTGAGAGATAGAAAGAGATGTACGAGTATAGAGAAACTTAAAGGTGTACGGAGAAAACCTCAAAAATAGCTGGAGGTGAAGCGAAAGAAAGATAGAGAGAAGAAGACAGAGAGAACTCAGAGCGAATCCCCCTATGTAGGGCCACAGAAATAATGAAAAATACTGATATATACTTCTTTTTAAATAAACAAATCCATTGTAAAAGTAGTAGATGTAAACAACACCCCCCACCACCCCACCCACCAACTTACAGACAGATCTCTACTAAAACTTGCAAAAATTTCCTGGAGTGGAGTTACACACAGGTCTGACTGAAATGAAATGGGAATTGCATTCAATATGCAAATTATAGCGTTTGGCCATAAAAGCCTAGTTACCGGCTGGAATAGAAAAGAAAGATAAAATTGAGTGTTGAGCAACAGCACCAACAACAACAATCGAAACATGCAACAGCTAAAGCAACAAAAGGCAACAGTAAAATACCAAGCGTCTCTGAGGCAGTCAGTCCCCAAGCCAATTCTTGTTCTCTGGCTGTTTTCTTACGGCCTGATATTTTCAGTTTCCTGGCTAGTAGCTAGATTCAGAAAATTGATGTTGCATGCAGCAAAAACTAGAACCACATCATCCAGTCAGTCAGCAGCAGCAAACAAAAGCAGCCACACAGCCCCACAGTTACACAGCTACGCAGCCAAATGGCCAATACCCAAAAGTATTTCTCTCCGACACTGTTTCTCCCTTAGCCTTCTCTTTTATTTTCTTTCGTCTCCTCCATTTGCTTAGTTTATCTTAACTGCCATAACAAGCTCAAAGTGTGTATAAACTATCTATGTGACTGTAGTTGCAGTGGTACGAGGGTCTGTACCTGTCCGTCTCAGAGCGTGGTTTTGAGAACACAGACAAGGAACAACATCGGAGAATTCATGTCTGGTCAAAAGAAATTTTAACAAAAGCAGGGCCAGGGTAGCCAGTTCTCTCAGACATCAGAGGACACGTGCACACAGACCAGGCCAAGACCGTCTAGAAACATCTGTTTTTCGTCTCGTAGGTTGCTCCGGCAGATTGGTTGAAATTGGGATTTTTTTTTGGGCCACAATTACATGTGCTTACCAATGGCAGGGAAAGAGTGCCAGAGATAGAGAGCGAAGGATAATTGTAACAAACTTCAGTAGGTGGGCAAAATATGTTGAGAAGCCTATTTTCTTAGAGCAGAGCTCTCCATTACACAATCTCTCCTCAATAGGTCTTTAGGTCACGCAATGTCGATTATAAATGAAAAAATAGTTTTTTCTGCATGCTAGTCAAAGATTTTTAAAGAAGAGGCTGAGCGCACTCTAACGTACTCGCAGTCACAAAGTTGAATCTGAGCAAGAGTTTGCCAGAGAAAAACCTCAATTTGCGACCTTGCTGGAAAAAGTTGTCCATTCTGCAAGCGATTAAAATCGACCTTGAATTGCTTGTTACGCCTCTTGCCTGTTCACTCTCTCTATATCCCCCTCCAACTATCTCTGATTTCACTTAAATTAAAATTTACATTCCAAATACCTAAAAATAAAAAGGCTTAAAACTAGCTTACACAGTATAAGCAACAACAACACTCTCTCTCGAGAAGGATTCACATTCGTCTTAGAGTTAAAAATCTAAAATTGTACATACTTAGATAAGTTGAATTTTTTCAACCTTAATTGTTGAATCATTGTGATATTTTCTTTTAGACCTAAGCTCTAATTTATATTATGCAAAGACTATTTTCCTAACAATCTACATGTATGGTACATATATGTAAATCTAAAGGAAACTAATCCTCATTAGATAGTCTAGGCCATAAGTCAATAACCGAAAACGAATACGAATCCGAATGCACATCTATCCCGCCTATAAATAAAAATACAGCCATATTATTTCTATTAAATTGAGAAAGTGTTGTACATACATATGAACAAAATTACAAGAAAAACGGACTGTTTTAAGAAAAAATTAAACATACAACTCAACAAAAACAAACATAAATCGACTGATTACATGTGTACTATATATAAAAATATGCATACATTTTAAGTACGATTTACTCGTTAATACTTTGGGGTTGTTAATATTTTAACTATCCAGGATCAGACCATTTTATGTATTTTATTTAGTAATTTTATGTTTTCTAGTTTATAGATAAAATATAAATAACAAAATCAAAACTGAAACAAATATATAAACGAAGCAAAAATTTATAGAAAATTCGATTCTTTTCATTCGCTCATCTCATCTTCTATTGCTTATTTCTTGCAGAGTATTTGTTATATTTTTCCGTCTGCTGCTGATAAGCCACAAACTGTCTTGCCTTGACATTTAATACAGTTTGGGAGTGGATTCCAATGCCAGCAATTACGAATGCGAGTGGGGGTTGGGGATGGGTTCTGCTTAGGCTCTTGTTTTGCTTATGTAAGAGCGATGGTGTTTTATTACGTACGGCGACAAAATTTGCAAGATAAGTGCCGAGCGTCTCCATTGCCATTCCATTGGTGGAAGCTAAAGAAGCGGGGATTGAAAGGGCAAACTTGTGCTATTGCTTGATTACAATTTTAGCTCATAACTTAATCGACGCAATGAATGCACTTATGTATACACCAAGAAATAAAGAACCTAGGATATACTTTTTTCGACATTTCCTGAAATTTAAAAGTCAACATTTTGTTAAAAATAACGCTCAAAAATCATCCTTTTTCATTTGAATGCCTTATATTTTCCACTCGTTAAATGAAAACAAGAAAGTGTTTGCGTCTAATTTCAAAAGGCTTTTCAAAATGGCAATATTTTTTACAACCAAATCTAAGATACTTAAGTTATTTACAAAATCTAACCGCTACCTCTGAAAAAAAACATTAAGAAAAAATACTAATTAAAAAAATTGTTTTAAAGAAAACGTTCTGCCATAGAAAAAAGCCTTAAATTATTCAACAAATTTAATGCCCAAATAAATGTATTTTGGTGCCAATACATTTTTAATTAAAGTATTTTATATCTCAAAAATATCTTTATTATATGATTAGTTCCTTGCCTGTTCAATGCAACTTGTGCAAGTTGGAAGACCCCTGAAATGTCTTGCAAATAGCCTAAAAAGTGTTCAGCCTAGTGTTGAACTCATTTTAAGAGCAAATAAACCCTCTACCTCTTCGTGTGCCACTACTACAAAGACTTTATATTTTGCTATCCTTAGATGCGACAATATCTTCAAGTGCTTACTTTTGTGCATATGGCAATCAGTATCCTTTGCGAGTATTTATGATGTATTCTGGGTACTCTGGTGAATAAGATCCTACACACAAAAGAAAGCGTTTCCGACCCAAAGAATATGTATAAGTCTATCCATGTCTAGCAATGTCTATCTGTCTGTCTGCCCGTCCGTTTCAAAATATCCACCCGCCCCTTTCCGCCTCCGCAAAGAGCGACAATATGCTGTATCCACATGTTTTAAGATAAAAGAAAACTAAAAATGCCATTTCGTGGGGAAAGCCCATATCTTTCAGATCACCCAATTGGGAACACATTGGATAATTTTTATAGCCAAAATGAAAATATGTATTTTGCAGTGGCTACCACCACCCCGGCCAGCTTCTTATACCCGGTACTCGAAGAGTAAGTAGGGTATATTTTATTTTTGCGCAAAGTGGATGTATGTAACGCAGAGAAGGAAACGTTTCCGACCCCACAAAGATCAGCATCAATAGCCGAGTCGATATGACCATGTCTGTCTGTCCGTCCGTCTTGTTGAGCGCCTGGATCTCAGAGACTATAAAAGCTAGAGCCACCACATTTTGCATCCAGACTGCTTCTGCAGCAGAGTGTGACTTAGAGAATGTGAAAAAAATAAATATAAGATGCGGGACGGGGTGGGTTTAGCGGTGGGAACGGCAGGGGCAGAGGCCGCACACTGGGTGAATGAAAAAAATGTGCAAAAAACAAATATAAGCTGCGGGACGGGGTGGATTTAGGTCTGTTGTTGGTCCAGACCTCCTGCAGCGCTGCATAAATGAACTCATAAGCTTCTGCAAAAATTTAAAATTATTCGAAAAGGGGAAAAAACGGGCAAAAAGCATTAACACCACTTGATTCTATAATATTTGGTTAATAACATGTAATTTAAACCTCTGTGCAGTAGTGTGCTGTGCAAAAGTAATATTCCACAATTCCAAAACATTGGACAAATAAATATCTCGACATGTTTTCTCCATATTTTTTTTTGTATATAAACTTTGTAATCGAGCTACAATTACAGCTGCAAGTTGCTCAATTTTCCTCACTTTTTCACAAGTCAAAGCTTCTCAAAATCAGCCGACTTTGAAAGCGGACAAACCAGTTTTGTTTTATCTTGATATATGGAATCAGAAAACTTAAGTTAAATATTTTACCAAAAAAAATTACATAAATGCCAAAAATTCGGGCTTTTTACTTTGGTTAAATTAGTCAATTGTACAATCAATCATTAGCGAGCCAACGAGCTATCCAGCTGCCTTTGAGGTGAAATGACCTGGGAGGAGAGAATTGTATGTTGTGCTGAGCTTATCCATAGGAGAAGTTCAAGTTCAGGCTCAACTTTTTTCGATACTTTATTTTTTTTTAATTTTTTGCGGGGAGGGAAAACTTTGCGGAAAAAGAAAGAAACATGTCAAATATTAAAAGTTTTCTTTACTTTTACTTTCTCTTGGTACCCAGCAGGCCCTACTCAGGCACTTCACGTCTTTCCCCTTTCTTTATTTGATCAATTTTGCCTATGGAATTTCTTATAAAGTAACAGAAGAGTTAAGGGGATGGAAAGGAGCTGAATGACGGTGCAGACTTTGGCAATCTACGAGGTAAACTTTCAATTGAATTTGTTTACACTTTTAGATGGTTACATGTTTTTAAAAAGGAGATTGACTCAATAAAGAATTCCCAATACTTTAGAGTATGCGTGCCTATACCTATACTACTGGTATACAAATCGGCACCGCTTATATTAGAATAGCAGGTCTGTAAGTGTTCCCCTGTTAATGATAAATGATCACCATATGAACGATTGATTATAACAAAGAGTGTCAAGAACATCGTCTCCCGAATCAGAGTTCCTGTTTTGTTTTCTTTTTCTGCTCCATTGCGGTTAGGCAAAGTTAAAAGGCCTTCTTTTGCAGGGTGGGGTATTTTTGGAAGAGCTTCTCTGTTGCCAATCGTTTAGCAAAACGCAGAAATATTTTGGGTTACAAATCAGATTAGAGTCGAAAAAGATATTTTAGTTATAGATATTCCTACCACGGATTGTAAGCTGGCAGAAGTTTTGCTTTCAAAAGTCTGGTTAAGGTAATTATGATTTAAGTTCAACATTTTTTCAGTTTATTCACTATTTATTAACCAGGTCGAACCAATCATTTGAGTTATTATTTGAAATGTTCTCCGACCGCAGCTTAAACATTTTATTCGCCCTCTGTTGCACTATATCTTAGCTTCTGTACTTTCAAATAGAGCTTGGTGTAATGTCTGAACCATTAGTATGAACTATTTACCATCCATCACAGGGACACTCGGAAAGAAGTGGAGGATACCTTGAAAAAATAAAAATCAATCAAATAATTATAAGGCAGCTACAGAAACGGAATATACGGCACAAAAATATTGTATATTTTTCATGTGCATCTTGCCAGGCCGTCAATTAGGTAGCCTCCACCATTGCATCCACCAATTGCCTCATTCGACTCCAACGAATCGAGAGTCATAGTCAATCAAGAGTCACAAAGTAGGATGGCATCCAATAGTCTGGCCTGGTCCCTCTCTGACTCTATATAAATAAATAGGCGGACATTGGAAGTCGACTACAGCTCTTTGTAATAAAAGCAAAATTTGTCTTCATTTCAATTTTTTCGTAATTTACCAGGCATACATTTCTCGCCCGGCTACCCCATGGAGAGTGGAACACTAGGAGTGGTGGTGCAGAATGGGGTAGCCAAGCCATATACAGAGAGCAACGATCCGATGCGATCCAAAACAAATTAATCGACAGTAGACACATTAAATTGACTGCAAATTATTGCACATTGGCAAAACAACCAGGTAGGATCAACTCTGTAAAAGATAATTTGGGATGGACGAGTGTTTACCGTTTGTTGCGGCTGTGAGATTGAAATGGGAATACGCATATATAGATGGTGTATTATCAACCAATTTGTATACATACATATTAACTATGGCCAGTTAGACTATAGTCTAACTAACTAACTAACACAAATGGCTAATGGTGTCTATTTTGAAAGGCAAAATCTTTTATCTGTCGATATAGTCTCCTCACGAGGGCTGGGTAAAAACATTCTTAGATACATACATCTGTGTCTTATAAAGAGTATCTAGTATTATTCGTAGATAGGAGTATCATGCAATCTGTGGAAAGGCAAATCGGCTTAGGTTTATTATTAACGACTATCCTCGTCAATAATAACCGTAACCAACACGCGCCTTTGAAGATGAAGGGCCTACTGTATGTTCATACATACATATATATATAAATGTATTTATTATAAGTACATATATACGAAGGGGAGACGACATTGTAAAATTACTGATCCATCAGAATGGGCACGGCCATGGTCTCGTCCGGACAGGTCTCGTATTAGGATCGTTGATAGTTTTCATTTAAAAAAATGACGGACCCTGGACTGTTGACGCACGCGTTGTGGGAATATTTGACACTCTGAATAAATAATAATGATTTAGTACTTCCCCCTAACGATGTTCCAGCATCACTTTTGGGGACTCTGACTCAGGCTGCCTTGGACAAGGTGCCTTGCATAAAAGCAAATTTGTATGAGTTTATCTTATCGCGATCACGTTGCATCTGCGAATGGTTCGGAGAGCGGTGAATGAGTTATCTTGCAGACACGTAAGCTTCACGTATTTTCATGCACGATTTAAGCCTTAATTTCTACCCAAGAAACTGTACAAGGGAGAGAACTTC